CATTGGCAAGTCAAATAAATACGGAATCATAATAAGGTGCAATTCCGAAAAACAGAATCGCTTTTCTTTATGTTTGTGTCCTTTTTTAATGAAAGCTATTTAGGCCCACGTGCACACTTTAGAAACAGGACTGGAGTCAGCCCTACCAGTTCCCTAAGATCTTTATTCCTGTGAAAACCCACAACAACAAATTTTGGCAATATTACAGAAAAATAATTTCTAATAAGTGGGATTTAAGTCGTCACGTACACCAGGACTCGTTACAAGAGTAAAAAAGATACAGTCAGTGCCTTTATACCAAAGTTCGTTATACCGGAGAACCACTACTGCCAATTGCACTTATTCGTATGATTCTGAGCTTCTTAGATGTTTATTTTCAGCGTTCACGTCGAAGAGAATATTTCCTTACCCTGTTTGACGATCTTAGAGCAGTTCCCATCCAGAACAGTGACGTCATCAATAGCTATATCTCCTGAACTTCCGCCCTCTATGACGCCTTCTATGACAAACTATGGCAAAACATTTTACTTTATTTTTTTTCCAACGATATTCTTGTGAGGGCTCACCTTGACTAATGAACAGTCGTGGGTTCTACACCAACCTTAATGGGTTTAGTGCTCGGCTACTAGTAAGATGAGCGGCGCCACAGAATACGGATTCCGTCTTTATTGGTTTGGCACTCTATCAAGGACAGTCGTGAACTAACTACGACAGAAACGTGCTCTTGAATACCCAATCGATTACTATGTGTGGGAACACGGCTGAATAACCTAGGCATGTCCGAATGGCACGGGTGTTGAATTACAGGTATCCAGTTTCAATTTATATCTGCAATTGTAAGGCCACGGAATCGCGCGCCAATTGAATGGCAAATAAGCGCCCGTAGAAACAATCAGAATCGAGATATTTTATTACAGATGAGATTATCATAACGCACCACCGGGGTCAAATAACATTCTCCTGGCAGTATGTGTTACCTGAAATTGCTTTTCATGATGTCTTGGATTCATAGGAACTTGTGCAAATATCCAGTTGTCTCCCATGTGCCCCTTTTGACTCCACACCTTTGTTTCAGACCCACTTGCATTTCTTTGTATGTAAATGTTCAGAGATCCTACATCTTTTCCAAACATATGGTACCAGAACTGTAGACAAAGCTCTTGTGTGTTTATAAACCAGCCACTTTGTAATCTGGCCTTGTCGCCAACTTTTCTGTTGGACGCTTCAATATATAGATAACGACCTAACGGAAAATATCAATGATGAGAAACATCGGCCGAATTCATACTAGAAACGGGAAATTCGTGTTATACGAGTTCTCTGTCTGTGACGAGTTGCTAGCGTGAAAACGGGACGGGACGGGGTTTTAAGGGAAAAGAGTCCAACGTTACTCGTCTACGTGTCCATCTGAGTCGACAAGACTGGCTCCTAGACGAGAAACCCGTGAAGACCCATCAAAATTCACTTTCAGGTGGTTTTCTAGTCGATTTGTCTCAAAGCGCTTCAGGATAACACGTCTTAGTGTGAATTTAGTAAGATACGATTAGTCGGGTTTGGCGTCACGAATTCACCGTGCACCAGGACGGAAAACTCGTCAGACTATTACCCGTCCACTTTGGTTTCTTGTATTGTAAAGACGGTTGTAAAGTCGATTTTTCTAGAGGAGCACCGAACTGCCTAATGTCTTTCTAATGTCCCACTTCGTGCTACCCGTTAACTGAGCTCATAATCCAAGACAGTTCCCTCTCCCAGGGAAAATGACAAAATGGCTTGGGTGACAATTAATGATTCTATCTGAAGATTAGTATTTGAAGAGTTATAGTGAAGCCGTTTGATCAGTTTCATTCCTTTATAAATTTGTCTTTCCTTTTTCAGAAGGCGTATTGAGTGACATAATCTGTAAATAACCTCTCAGAATAAAGATTTCCGCGAACCCCTAAAAGCCCCTGAGAACCTGTGGCCACTTTAAGATTTCATAGAGAGCGAAGTGCCAAATATTTTTTCAGAGTTTCAAACTGAACGATTGCAACAAATTACCTCGGTTTGATAAAGTCGTATGGTCAAAGGAAGGTCCCGTGTTTTCTGAAGGTGCCTGTCCCATGTCGGTTGTCCACTGAAATTCACTGTTGACATCATTCCGTAATCCACATAATCCATTTTGGAAATCGCATGGTCCTGAAACAATAATAATACTCATTTCCGAAAAGAGTGCAGAAGCAGAAAATATCCAATTTAGTTCAGTCAACCGAATTCTGGTTGATTTCAATGCCGGTTATTTGTGATTTATGGGATGCCAGTTCTTGGACGGCAAGATTGGAACCTCTGACCATTAGCCCAGAGAACAATCAACTTTAAGATGCAGGATTTCCATGACTTGTGAATTGAGAAAATTTAAAAAACGCAAAAATTTAAAAACAACGTTTTTAGAATAAACTAAGTTGAAGATCTGTGGCATTTATCGTAATACGTGCAACACGCATGGTTTGTCCGTGATGGAAGCAAAAAAGGGTAGGATTTAACCTACAGAGCACACTTTAAAAACTCTTATTGATAACAGTAATAATAATTAATAAGAGTTTTTAAGTGTGTATAAGTGTCCTGGTTTGAGCGAAAAAATAAATTTCATTCATTGTGTGAAAAATCCTACCTCGAAAAGGAATCTGGCAAGTGTTTTCCTTGTCTTCAGTTCTGCTTCCTCTTTCTTTTGAGCAAGATAAGTCATTCAGAGGACATTCCGTCTTTCCTGTACAGAAAAGGTTGGTTAACGTTCTTGAATGCTGGTGGGATTGTTTGAAGAAGCTGCACCGACAGCCACCACTAAAAAATTATATGCAATCCTCCAACAGTTGCATATGTAGGATGGGCCGCATTCTTTGGACATTTCGTCTCAAGAAAAGCTGATCAACCTTCAGAACAGCAGGGTTTGTTTTGCAAGTGCAACAGTTTAATGCATTTGTTTTCTGCCATTGACCCCACCAATAAAGGCTGCACCATCTCATTTCATCCTGTCACCCTTTCATCCTGCTAACCTTAAGTGGGCCTTACCATAACGAACTTTATTTAACGTGGAAACACTTGAATACTTAGTTTTTGGTCTATCTCACAAGGTGCACCGGCTAATTTCCAGGCATAACTAGATCTATATTCTCCCTCAAGATAGTCGGCCATTTTAGCTCTTGGTAGCGATATTTCGACCCCGTGCCATGTTTTTAAGTTCAACAGTTCTACGCATATTTGTGCACTGAATCGTTTTTGCATAACGTTAAGATATACTAGATATTCAAGTCAGTCAATTACAGAAAGCAGGAAATCATTAAAAATATAAACGCAATGAATCTCACCACATATGGAAGGAAGATGGGTACCATCATGACATCCTTCTGCTTTCTTGCAGGTTTGCGACCAAGAGATTGACTCTCCATCAAAGCAGAGAAATTCATTCTTCGGGTTTTCTTAAATCAAACCATGCAAATTTAGCGGAGGCCATTCGTTAGACTGGTATAACATTCACATGTCATTGGCATGATATGTACATTTTATTGACAAACGTTGTCATGGAGATATCGTAATGTATATTTTTATAGTCGTTTTGTTTGTCTTTATTTGTCTCTTTTGCATACTTATGTTGAGCAAGCAAATAGGATAACACAATAAACCAATAAACTCTCAAATATGCCGCAGCAACAACCCTATAACACACGAATATACCGGGGAGAACACACCGTCAACAAAACATGAACTGATAAATAAGTCAATATTATAAATATCTGTTTTTGAAACCCCGGTTGTCATCCAACGGCCGAAGTTATCTCTGTCGGACAAAGGTGGTAACCAAATATCAGATGGCCAGTAAGTAATTATGTGGTAAACGCACAAACACAAACATAAATTATTTCCAGCCTATAACCATGGATTGTGGTAGAATATCATTTTTTTTACCCTGTCCTTCCTTTTCATCTTCTCCATCTTGGCAGTTCTTTTCGCCATCTCGTAGTTTCTCTGGGGACAGGCATTCACCTGATGAACACGAAAACTGACTGTTCAGACATCTGCAGCTGCTCTCGTCCGATCCGTCAACACAGTGTGACTGGCCATCACATTTCTGTATACTTTTAACACACTGCAAGTTGTCACACCTAAATTCTTCCTTGCTACAACTATACCCTGTGAAAAAACAGCAACAAGAGAGATTTCTTTTCCTTCTACCAACTTTAAGGCCTTTTGTCATCCTGACTACGATTTGAAAATACTTAAGACTACTTGGGCTCGCTATTAGACGATTTCGTATTGTGGGACGATATGCAAAACGATATAGCGAACCATCTAGAAAATATGATAGCCGTACCTCTTTGAAAAGTTAAATTTGTTTGCAAATTATGCTAAACGTAATTTTGATAACTTAAGACAGAAAATTTTGGAAATTCTGAAATCAAAACGATTGAACACGACCACGAACTCTATCTATGACTTACTTAAACATATAAATGACTGCAGTAAAGCCACGTTGTTCAGTTAGCAATATATATATATGAAACGTCAACCAAGGAACATGGAACCGAAAGTTTGTATAGATCAGAAAGAGTTTGGATCCGATTTGTAGTTTTTCATTTCAGTCTTGTATAAGCGGCTTGATAATAGTAAGTACTATTTGTTCAAATCAGTTGAGTAAACATTTTTACTAACCTGGAATGGCAAACGAAGGAAAAATAACGCATTTATCCGTGAAGATCTTCAAATTCTGAATTACAACCGAGACTACCCTGCTGTTAAATGCTTCGCCTTTCAGTTCAACCTTCGGGAAAACAAGACCGGTATATTTATTAGAAATACCCGCTGATTATCTATCATAAGACAAAGTAGTATTTACAGTGTATTTCAAAAGTAAACAATTCGTTCATCACTGAAGTACCACTATTAACTTGCAGTTTTC